GTGTGTGTGTGTGTGTGTGTGTGTGTGTGTGTGTGTGTGTGTGTGTGTGTGTGTGTGTGTGTGTGTGTGTGTGTGTGTGTGTGTGTGTGTGTGTGTGTGTGTGTGTGTGTGTGTGTGTGTGTGTGTGTGTGTGTGTGTGTGTGTGTGTGTGTGTGTGTGTGTGTGTGTGTGTGTGTGTGTGTGTGTGTGTGTGTGTGTGTGTGTGTGTGTGTGTGTGTGTGTGTGTGTGTGTGTGTGTGTGTGTGTGTGTGTGTGTGTGTGTGTGTGTGTGTGTGTGTGTGTGTGTGTGTGTGTGTGTGTGTGTGTGTGTGTGTGTGTGTGTGTGTGTGTGTGTGTGTGTGTGTGTGTGTGTGTGTGTGTGTGTGTGTGTGTGTGTGTGTGTGTGTGTGTGTGTGTGTGTGTGTGTGTGTGTGTGTGTGTGTGTGTGTGTGTGTGTGTGTGTGTGTGTGTGTGTGTGTGTGTGTGTGTGTGTGTGTGTGTGTGTGTGTGTGTGTGTGTGTGTGTGTGTGTGTGTGTGTGTGTGTGTGTGTGTGTGTGTGTGTGTGTGTGTGTGTGTGTGTGTGTGTGTGTGTGTGTGTGTGTGTGTGTGTGTGTGTGTGTGTGTGTGTGTGTGTGTGTGTGTGTGTGTGTGTGTGTGTGTGTGTGTGTGTGTGTGTGTGTGTGTGTGTGTGTGTGTGTGTGTGTGTGTGTGTGTGTGTGTGTGTGTGTGTGTGTGTGTGTGTGTGTGTGTGTGTGTGTGTGTGTGTGTGTGTGTGTGTGTGTGTGTGTGTGTGTGTGTGTGTGTGTGTGTGTGTGTGTGTGTGTGTGTGTGTGTGTGTGTGTGTGTGTGTGTGTGTGTGTGTGTGTGTGTGTGTGTGTGTGTGTGTGTGTGTGTGTGTGTGTGTGTGTGTGTGTGTGTGTGTGTGTGTGTGTGTGTGTGTGTGTGTGTGTGTGTGTGTGTGTGTGTGTGTGTGTGTGTGTGTGTGTGTGTGTGTGTGTGTGTGTGTGTGTGTGTGTGTGTGTGTGTGTGTGTGTGTGTGTGTCTGTGTGTGTGTGTGTCTGTATAACGCATAACTCATGAACCGATACACAGAAAAACACCAAATTTTAAACTTAAGCTTTGTTTCAGCGTCCAATGAGCTGATTAGATTTTGGACAAAGTTGGAACATCTGGGGGGGTACTTTATGGGAGGCCGTTTTTATATTTTATGGAATATATCTGTTATTTATGTTTGGAGAAGAAAATTGTTCAAATAAAAGTTACTTCTAATATTATTATCTATAATTTTTGTTTTATGTCAAAATTTCCTGAAATGGTCCGTATTCGAGAAATTTGACAAAATGTGCAAAATTCTGATTTTTATGAAAATTGTTGAACTAAAAGTTGTTTGCGATATCGATTTCTATAATTTTTGTTTATACATGATTTTTCTAAAATGGTCCGTAATGGAAAAGTGCTAAATTTAAATTTTTCTGTATTTTCGTTTTCAATGAATATCTATAGAAAAATGTTTCGAGGTAGACGTATGTGTAAAATGTATATATTTAGTTTATCCTCTAAACATTTATAGAGATGCTGCAATAGGTTGTACAAAATAACCGGAAAATGCCTATAATAACTAGATAGGAAAGTCATGTGTTGGATACATCAGATTTTTCATAGGAAAATGCACCTACGGTTAGGTTAGATAGATCTAAATATCTAGATATTTAGATATCTAGATATTTAGATCTATCTATCTATCTATCTATCAATTCAAATTAGGTATTTTTTTCATAGGAAAATGCACCTACGGTTAGGTTAGATAGATCTAAATATCTAGATATTTAGATCTATCTAACCTAACCGTAGGTGCACGGTGGGTATCTTCAATTCAAATTAGGTATTTTTTTCATAGGAAAGATATTTAGATCTATCTAACCTAACCGTAGGTGCATTTTCCTATGAAAAAAATACCTAATTTGAATTGAAGATACCCACCGTGCACAGTATGTTCTCTTAAACGTCTAAAAGCAATGATGATGGCTTGGGAATCTCTGGTCTAAAGCTATTGTCCTTCCTCTTCTAAAAAATCAGAAACCTCGTTTAGAACCTGAATCTTACAGACCCATACGTTTAATGTGCTCCATGAGTACTAGAAAAAATAATCAACCATAGCCTCATGTGATCTTCGGAAAATTCTAGCCACTTAATCTCCGAGGAAAACGGTTTTAAACAAAACGATCAATATGTTGGATCTGGAAAGCGAAATTCACGAATCTCTAGCAACAAAACAAACTTGTATAGCAATATTTTTCGACATAAAAAGAGCCTTTAACACCGGAGATTTAACATTAGTGACAACTGTCTTGCTTTTATCAAAAATTTTCTAAAGGATAGATCATTTCGTGAAGACAATGGAACTCCACAAGGGTCGATAATTAGTCCTATACTGTTTTTGGTCGCTATAAATGATATAATAAAAAGATTAGCAACACCTTTAAAAGCACGCTCATATGCTGATGATCTGGTAAACTATATTAAAGGAAAAAAATGAGTTATGTCATCAAAATTCTTAAATAATATAGTTTTAACATATCTTAATTGTACTTTTACAAATTCCAAATGTTTCCTTTTACGATAAGAACCAATATAAGACCAGCAACATTGTCATTGCTGAAGTCGTGGTGTTAACTACTACATTGTAATGATAATAGTTCATTTAAGTGAAATAAAACTTTTTATAAACCCAAAGTGTTGAAAGAAAAACTTAATTCAAAAACTGTTGGTATTGCATTCTCCAAGAAAACTTCTGTTATATTTCCAGTTTTACAGTTATTTGACCAAAATATATGTGTCAAACTATCAGTAAAGTTCTTGGGAATGTGATTCGACCAAAAACTATCCTTGAAAGAACATATAAAACATTTAACCCTGTGCTGTCATAAGAGAGTAAACATAATGAAGACTCTGGCAAACAGAAACTGGGGCTCAGACTATCATATCTTACTAACTATTTATAAAGCTTTAATAAGATCAAAGATTGACTACGGGTCTATTGCAACAAAACCACTTTTTGTCCAGTTCAATTCTGTTGTCTTTCTGTTACTATACTCTGCTAAATTGTGGTCATATAATTGAGGATATTTCTCAATTTCTTGAGGAAATAATATAGTTTCATTTTAAATTTTTGAAAAGCAACACGTCGCAACAAATATCGAACAAATTGGTTCTATGGCTTCGAAGCGCAAATGCTGAGTGGATTCAAATGCGTTCTGTCAACAAATAAATACACAGAAGCATTAAATGCTGTCTGATACATTTGTGGGGCAACATTTGTACCTTAGGTCTGCGGCCACTGTACACAATGCTGATCTTCGTATTGTTCTGGGAGCTTTTCGCACTTCCTCTATTGAAAGTATCTACTGTGAAACTAATGAACCTTCCCTGCATTACCAGAGAATGTATCTATCATTATCACATACTACTTTGATAGCCTCTAATAGAAATAAGCCACTTTTCAATAATACTTTCACTAAAAAATATATCAATTACTTTAGCAATAAGCCACACACATCAAAATCTTATTATGAGCGAATTCGAAGTAATCTTAGTCACCTAGAGCAGTTGTCGCCAACCTCTCAATATGTTGAGCTACTTTGTTAATTTTGGAATAAACAGCGAGCTACCCACACGGAAGCCACGTAACACAACGTAAATGAAATAATCTACAGTTAATTTATCATTATATGTATTTATTTTACTATTTAACTGGTAATACATAATACATAGGTACTAATAATAAACTAATAACAAAATAACTAATATTACTAGTACGTAATTGTTCATAGCTACATTCCTACCTACCAAACGAAGGTGTTTGAAAAATAAACACAAACTTTTATCCATTCACAACGGCATGTCACGTAAGATTTAAAAATAGTTAATAATAACAACAAAAAAGTAACGCACTATCATGAACATAAACATTGAAAAATAAAAAAGCACGTTCAATGAGAAGGCTGATACTCCATAGATATTTAGATCTATCTAACCTAACCTTAGGTGTATTTCCCTATGAAAAAAATACCTAATTTATATTGCATTCCACCGTCCGACCAGATAGATCTAAATATCTATCTAACCTAACCTTAGGTGTATTTCCCTATGAAAAAAATACCTAATTTATATCTGGTCGGACGGTGGAATGCAATATAAATTAGTTATTTTTTCCATAGGGAAATACACCTAAGGTTAGGTTAGATAGATCTAAATATCTATGGAGTATCAGCCTTCTCATTGAACGTGCTTTTTTATTTTTCAATGTTTATGTTCATGATAGTGCGTTACCTTAGGTGTATTTCCCTATGAAAAAAATACCTAATTTATATCTGGTCGGACGGTGGAATGCAATATAAATTAGGTATTTTTTTCATAGGGAAATACACCTAAGGTTAGGTTAGATAGATATTTAGATCTATCTAACCTAACCTTAGGTGTATTTCCCTATGAAAAAAATACCTAATTTATATTGCATTCCACCGTCCGACCAGATTTTACGTCTAGTCGGTGTTTAATCTATATATACCGGGTGTTTAAATTAAAGTTTTACAATTAAATACCGGCGAAAATACGTTTTTTATAAAAAAAATCTGATGTGTTCAACACACCTAAGGTTAGGTTAGATAGATATTTAGATCTATCTAACCTAACCTTAGGTGTATTTCCCTATGAAAAAAATACTTTCCTATCGGTATACAGATATAAGGAAAGTATAGGAATTATGATTTTTTTTCGACCTCCAGTTTTCGATGGATCTTTACGTTTTGAGGTCCCCTGACTATTTTCGCGATGATGTCTGTGTGTCTGTGTGTGTATCTGTATCCACCATAACTCAGGAAAGTCATGTGTTGGACACATCAGATTTTACAGACGTTGATTCTGTGAGTCACATTTCCTACATATCTACCACTTTACTTAGATTCCGCTATACTAATAGTAAAGCAAAAATTAAATATTTGAGTCAGATCGAGTAGAAATTATTTAAAGGTAATTACTAAATAAGAAAACAGACGTAAGCTAAGTAGAAAATTCGTAATCCATAATCTAAATATTATTGTATACTCACACCTTTTTTTGTGGTTTTCAAAAGGAAACGACGAACTCATTTGATTTTAGAAGATTCAGTAACGAACGAGAATTTAACGAATATGTATCTTAAATTATATTTTTTTCTTTTAGTGTGCACATCCCTTTGGATATTTGTAAGTATACGTTTTTTAAATATAATTATTTATACTATTACACCATTATGTTGTTTAGGTTAATTATTTTAAAAATACTTTGCAATGAAATACAGTAAACTTGTATTTGATACGGAAGTAGGGAATTATTATCTAACAAAGACAAATTTATTATTTTAAAATTTACATATATAAATAATTGTATCTATAGGTAAACTATTCTCGGCATTATGGGGTATTTAAATAAATATTTTTAATTGTTTGACATGCTTGATATGTATATATTCTTTTGAATAATTTAGAAGTTAATTCCAACATTCCGAGCAAATTAGCTATAAATTAAAGCAACTTACGGCCGTTTGCAGCGATGTATTTAAGGATTACTTAAATTAAGTAGAATTTAAGTGACATACTTGTACCGTCAGTTAAAGAGCCCTTTTGAAACACTTAAAATATTCCTAACAAAACCGTCAAATTTCGAGACTTAAACATTCCTTACCTGCTTTCACAGTGGCATTTTTTATAATTATAACAAAAATATGGAACTTATTTTTTATATTTTATATGTACTATGTATATTGAACATTATAATCACTAATTAAATAATACAGCTGAAGAATACACAAATATACATGTCTATAAAACTAGCAAATTACACAACATTTTTTTGGCTAATTTTTTGCTATTTTTTTACCAAATTTTTAATTTTTTTGCTCCTGTCGTTACTGAGAAACATTGGGCATGATACTTAATAGTATAGTGCTATTTGTAACAAAAATTTAACACGCTGAGAACTTGTATTAAAATTAAAAAAAAAAATAGCAAAAGTTTTATTTCCAAACACATGTTCAACTAAAAAATATATTGAAAATTGAAACTGACTAAAATTTTTAACTATTTATTTAAAAAGAATATGTTTTAATAAATTTATTTTGTAGAAATGAAGGTAAATTAATTTAAAAATGTCTATATTTCTAAATCACTTTCACAGTTACTAATTTCATGTTTTGAAATGATTACTATCATCATCAGTATCATCCAAATTTATTCCAAGTTTATTCCATCCAGTTTACTTCTAACGATTTATCAACATTATTTTAAAATATCTTAGTATGGACCAAAATTAATAGATTTATATACTTCAAAATTTCAAAACACATTTATAAAGAGTGTAGAAAGATTATTCGGCAAATAAAATTTTTAAATATCAACAGCTGTTAAAGATAAAGAGTATCAAAGTTTAATTCCTACTTGTTAAAGTTGAAATTGGAACCTTTGTTTCATCCCTAATTCCAAAACTAATAAATTTATAAACTTCAAAATTTTAAAACACATTTATAAAGAATGTAGAATCATTATTCTACAAACAAAATTCTTCAACTCCAACAGCTATTAAAGATAAAGAGTATCAAAGTTAAATTATTACTTGTTAAAGTTGAAATTGGAACCTTTGTTTCGTCCCTAATTCCAAAACTAATAAATTTATAAACTTCAAAATTTCAGAACACATTTATAGAAAGTGTAGAAAGATTATTCTGTAAACAAAATTCTTAAATATCAACAGCTGTTAAAGATAGAGAGTGTCAAAGTTAAATTCCTACTTATTAAAGTTGAAATTGGAACCTTTGTTTCGTCCCTAATTCCAAAACTAATAGACTTATAAACTTCAAAATTTAAGAACACATTAATAAAGAGTGTAGAAAGATTATTCTGCAAACAAAATTCTTAATTATCAACAGCGGTTAAAGATAGAGAGTATTAAAGTTAAATTCCTACTTGTTAAAGTTGAAATTGGAACCTTTGTTTCATCCCTAATTCCAAAACTAATAAATTTATAAACTTCAAAATTTTACAACACATTTATAAAGAGTGTAGAATCATTATTTCACAAACAAAATTCTTCAACTCCAACAGCTATTAAAGATAAAGAGTATCAAAGTTAAATTCCTACTTGTTAAAGTTGAAATTGGAACCTTTGTTTCGTCCCTAATTCCAAAACTAATAGATTTATAAACTTCAAAATTTGAGAACACATTAATAAAGAGTGTAGAAAGATTATTCTGTAAACAAAATTCTTAAATATCAACAGCTGTTAAAGATAGAGAGTGTCAAAGTTAAATTCCTACTTGTTAAAGTTGAAATTGGTACCTTTGTTTCGTCCCTAATTCCAAAACTAATAGATTTATAAACTTCTTAATTTGAGAACACATTAATAAAGAGTGTAGAAAGATTATTCTGCAAACAAAATTCTTAAATATCAACAGCTGTTAAAGATAGAGAGTATCAAAGTTAAATTCCTACTTGTTAAAGTTGAAATTGGAACCTTTGTTTCATCCCTAATTCCAAAACTAATAAATTTATAAACTTCAAAATTTTACAACACATTTAAAAAGAGTGTAGAATCATTATTCTACAAACAAAATTCTTCAACTCCAACAGCTGTTAAAGATAAAGAGTATCAAAGGTAAATTCCTACTTGTTAAAGTTGAAATTGGAACCTTTGTTTCGTCCCTAATTCCAAAACTAATACATTTATAAACTTCAAAATTTGAGAACACATTAATAAAGAGTGTAGAAAGATTATTCTGCAAACAAAATTCTTAAATATCAACAGATGTTAAAGATAGAGAGTATCAAAGTTAAATTCCTACTTGTTAAAGTTGAAATTGGAACCTTTGTTTCGTCCCTAATTCCAAAACTAATAAATTTATAAACTTAAAAATTTCAGAACACATTTATAAAGAGTGTAAAAAGACTATTCTGCAAAGAAGATTCTTAAATATCAACAGCTGTTAAAGATAGAGAGTATCAAAGTTAAATTCCTACTTGTTAAAGTTGAAATTGGAACCTTTGTTTCATCCCTAATTCCAAAACTAATAAATTTATAAACTTCAAAATTTTACAACACATTTAAAAAGAGTGTAGAATCATTATTCTACAAACAAAATTCTTCAACTCCAACAGCTGTTAAAGATAAAGAGTATCAAAGGTAAATTCCTACTTGTTAAAGTTGAAATTGGAACCTTTGTTTCGTCCCTAATTCCAAAACTAATACATTTATAAACTTCAAAATTTGAGAACACATTAATAAAGAGTGTAGAAAGATTATTCTGCAAACAAAATTCTTAAATATCAACAGATGTTAAAGATAGAGAGTATCAAAGTTAAATTCCTACTTGTTAAAGTTGAAATTGGAACCTTTGTTTCGTCCCTAATTCCAAAACTAATAAATTTATAAACTTAAAAATTTCAGAACACATTTATAAAGAGTGTAAAAAGACTATTCTGCAAAGAAGATTCTTAAATATCAACAGCTTTTAAAGATAGAGAGTATCAAAGTTAAATTCCTACTTGTTAAAATTGAAATTGGAACCTTTGTTTCGTCCCTAATTCCAAAACTAATAGATTTATAAACTTCAAAATTTTAAAACACATTTATAAAGACTGTAGAAAGATTATTCTGCAAACAAAAACGTTTTTTACCAAAAAAAACATGTTGCAGACTTTCAAAAAAGTTATAAATCTGGAATAATATTGAAAAGATCCAAACTGATATAAATATAAGTTTGCAACTTCTTTTTTTCACAAAGTTGTAACAAATTTTAAATTTTTGCAAATATTAACATGTTCTGGATCTCATAAAAAGTTTAAAAATTAAATTTATTGTTATTTAATTTAAATAAATAGTTTTTAATGTACAAATTTTCATTCTTGTACAACTCAGACACCTTTTACATTAAATTAATCTCATCAAAAAGATAATAAATTCGTTTTTTTTTAGGTTGTCACAATGAATACAAAAATTCGACCGATCAAGAAAAAGTTTATTCCCAGACAGAATACTTTATGTCCACCTAATGAACCATGTGATAAAACACCAGGTTATCCACTAAAAGCTATTACCGCATTACTTAGAAGAAATAAGAAAAAAATCGAATTCCTATCCGGGACAGCAATGCAACCGTTGAACGAAGCTACATTTCGAAGTCCAGAAGACCCAGAGAATCTTTGCAAAACGAGGAGATACTCAGTAGCACCTAAAACGGCTCCAGATATCCGAAATATTACGAAATTTATTGTTAACGTGGAAGGTTTTAAGCAACTGGTTACATATGAAAATTGCATGAGAGAGAAGTAATTTAACATTCTTAAAATATCAATTTTTGAGGGGAGGGGGGAGAATTTTTGCTACACACTGTATGTATTTATCGATATATTTTTATTTTTTCAGAGACGGCACTGAAAAAGTTTGTACTGGATATGAATTTTGGCCAAACGACTTCAAAACCACCTGCAGACAAGCGCATACCGTCATCAGAATGCTGAGTGTAACTTACTCTGGAAAAATGGATTACGCATATTTTCCTATCCCAAGTGGCTGCCACTGTGCGTACACTAAACTGAACAAATTTGATTACGATTGAAACGAAGATAAGACTAATATTAAAAAAATAACGAAAAAAGGAATAAGACTTGTTAATTTTCGTGTAATTATATTGACAAAAATTGGGAAATCTACTGTTTCTTCGCGAATTGCGCATTTTCAGAAGTCTCAAAAACGTATTTAGAGGTCTTGCTATGTAATGACTTACTTGTACTGAAATTATGTCTGAATTTTCGTACTAAATATTGTTTTTTGTCGTTTTGATAAAGTAATGTTTATCCACAAAATCGCACGTCTTTAAAAACCTAAAAAATGTTGCTTTTTGATGAATTATTATTTTTTTTATTGATATTTGTCTATGGTGTCTCTTTTACCAATTTTTACTGAATAAGCAATTATTATTACATAACTCTACCTAATCGAATGCAGCGTGTTACTCGAATTCACGGGAATGAACAAGAATATAGAGTAGAAACTATAAATTATATAAAAAATTATATAATTCAAAATATCTCGAATACGGTCCATTTCAAAGAAATTATGTATAGGATAAAAATTATAGATAATTATATTACAAACAACTTTTATTTGATCAATTTTTATAAAAAATAATTTTTTTTTACATTTTGTCAAATTTCTCGAATACGGACCATTTAAGGAAAATTTTGTATATAACAAAAATTATAGACAATAATATTTTAAGTAACTTTTATTTGAAGAATTTTCTTCTCCAAACGTAAATAACAGATATATTCCATAAAATATAAAAAAGCCCACCTATAAAGTACCCTCCCAAATATTCCGACTCTGCCCAAAATCTATTCATTTTATTGGAGGCCGAAATAAAACTTAAGTTTAAAATTTAACGTTTTTTCCTTTATCCGTTTTTGAGTTATCTTCAAAATTCGAAATTTACACATTTTCTCAAATATCTCGAATACGGTCCATTTTAGAGAAATTATATATAAAATAAAAATTATAGATAATTATATTACAAATAACTTTTATTTGAACATTTTTTATAAAAAGTTATTTTTTTTAAATTTTGTCAAATTTCTCGAATACGGACCATTTAAGGAAAATTTTGTATATAACAAAAATTATAGACAATAATATTGTAAGTAACTTTTCTTTGAAGAATTTTCTTCTCCAAACGTAAATAACAGATATATTCCATAAAATATAAAAATGTCCATTTATAAAGTACCCCCCCAGATGTTCCGACTCTGCCCAAAATCTATTCAGTTTATTGGAGGCCGAAATAAAACTTAAGTTTAAAATTTAACGTTTTTTCCTTTATCCGTTTTAGAGTTTTCTTCAAAATTCTTAATTTACACATTTTCTCAAATATCTCGAATACGGTCCATTTTAGAGAAATTATATATAAGATAAAAATTATAGATAATTATATTAAAAATAACTTTTATTTGAACATTTTTTATAAAAAGTTATTTTTTTTAAATTTTGTAAAATTTCTCGAATACGGACCATTTAAGGAAAATTTTGTATATAACAAAAATTATAGACAATAATATTGTAAGTAACTTTTCTTTGAAGAATTTTCTTCTCCAAACGTAAATAACAGATATATTCCATAAAATATAAAAATGCCCATTTATAAAGTACCCCCCCAGATGTTCCGACTCTGCCCAAAATCTATTCAGTTTATTGGAGGCCGAAATAAAACTTAAGTTTAAAATTTAACGTTTTTTCCTTTATCCGTTTTTGAGTTTTCTTCAAAATTCGAAATTTACACATTTTCTCAAATATCTCGAATACGGCCCATTTTAGGGAAATTATATAGGGAACAAAAATTATAGAGAACAATATTGTAAGTAACTTTTATTTAAAGAATTTTCTTCTCCAAACGTAAATAACAGATATATTCCATAAAATATAAAAAACTTAATTTTTTCACCAATTTTTTCAATTTTTTCTTTAAAAAACCAAATTAAAATTTGAAAAACTTACTATCATTCATTTTCTAATGCAAAAGTTTCTCTATAAACAAATTTTATTGCATTTTTTTTATTATTCAAATCAAATTTAAATAAACAAAATAAAAAAGATAAACATTTATTTTTTGCAATTATTTATAAATCTTTTTTTATTTTGTTTTACAGAAAATAAACAAGTTTTATTCCTAAATAAAATCAACTCGAATAAAACCCTGTCTCGACGTGCTTTAACCTGTTTTTACAACAATGTGATAATTATTTAATTTATTTATTATATGAATAAAAAATAAAAATAAAAAATAGTAAAGTGAATAACGAAAAAAACCGTGTTTTATTGCCTATCCTGTGTAATCATTCTTTATTCCTAACTAGCAATAATTCAAAGTAAACATCTTAAAAACGTCAAAAACACAGTGGCTAGAGAATTAAATATCCTTAAGTACGCCACTGCGCTTTTGGATTTCGATAACATGATTTAAATTTTAATTTTAGTTAACCTTTTTATACATAGATGTAGTTACATTCTTTAACTTTCATATTTAAACCTCCATGACCCCCGAAAACATAATTTCATGCTTCAAAACGACTGGCGTTTTTCCAGTTGATTCTCTGAAATTTCCCGATAAGTATTTTGATCCAAATTTATTGCGAAAGTATAGATAGAGAATACCAAAGCATTTCCAGTAGCCAAAAACTAGGAAACATTTCTGATGAATTACCTGGAGCTTCGTCAAGCCAACATGATCAGCTAGGATACATTTCTGAGGTATTATCTAGTCCAGGTGAACCCCTAGGGGTCCACGAGAGACTCGATGGGAGTCTACGTTGGGCGTAATGAAAAATGGGGGTCCACAATAAAGTTGAGTTAGTTTTTGAGATATTCGCACATATTTGGAAATTCTTAAACTTTTAAATGTCTATTTATTTAAAAAACATCAAAAAATTTAAAATTTTATGTCCAAATAACTTTTTGGATAGTGATGTAAAATTTAGGAGGGATACGGTATTACGTACCAATGCTGTACGCCACTGGAAAAGTTGATTAAGGTAACTAATTTTTTCGCTGATAGGTGGATATTATAACAACAAAAATTTAGTAAAATTGTTGTGACGAGAAAAATTTTATCTAAGCATGATTTGTTTAGATGTCTTATTTTTATTCAAAGAATCGTCAGTTAGTTCTATGTCCCATTCTTAACGAAACACCATGTATAGTATAATAGCTCCCTACGTAATGATACGAAAACCTTTATCCTTTGTTGACTGGACACAAGAATGAACTACTAACTAAATATATATACCGATGTCCCGAATCTAATCCAAAACTTTTATTTAGGTACCTGCTATATCGAAAATATTTGTCAAGGTCAAGAACTCGTTGTTATTTTATAACAATTACCGTTTAGAATTAATAAAATTATTACACCATCTATTGAACAAAAGAACTATTAAATATGGAATATTGCTCCATCTGTTGAACAAAAGGATTCTTAATTTATGACATATAAATGACATCTATCAAAATTAGTTCATGTTACGAATATTGGGGGGGTGGTACCTTAAGTGGTATTTGTACCTAACTTATTTCTATGTCTAACACCGTATTTGGTTTTGCAAGATAGAAACCCTAATATCGCTTCAAAAAGGAAGTACCCTCAAAAGCCACTGTGGGATAAAATAAAGGACTTTTACTTTTTTGCAACCAAATGTTGTTGATGAATGACAGAATGACGGAGTGTATAGCAATCACATCTGGAACTATAAAGCCTGTATCAAATCTCCAAATATGTGTCTTCAACTTTTTGGTGCTTCGGCGATGGTCTTAATAGTTTATAGGATTTTTGAGATG